TGTCTAAATTGAAAAAATACTATTTCTTGTTTCAACAAAGAAAGCAAATTAAGTCTAAAAGACTTTGCTAGTTTTGTCATTTAAAAGAAACAATTCAATCAATTACTGCCACCTGCTGTCACAACATGAACAAAATTTACAGTGAAAATGTTTCTTTTTTTCATGCCTTCTGTCAAAGAGAGTTTGTACTGTACTGTATCTAGATAAGGGAAAATCCTGCTACTGCAAAATACTCTGAGGTAATACTGTTGTGTTAGGCATCATATTTCACTTTAATTAACATTATGTAGCACCTTTAAAAGGAATCACCGTAATGCTCTTTACAAAGCATCTATAGTACATTATGTAACAATAAAAGGCAAGATTATTATAAAATAAATCAAAGTAGATATAGAAGATAAAACAATTATTAAAAGTCTTACTGAAAAAAGCAAGATTACGGCAAGACTTAAAAGTACTCAGTGGGGGGGGCGTATGATTTTCTTATGGAACTTTGTGCCCCATCACCCACAAAGAATAACTAGTCACCTGTCAACTATAGTACTAGAGAACTAGTACTAGAGTAACTATCACTAGTAAAACCCTTTTTCAGCACATTACAGCACGGCCTTACAGGGCTTATGCTTTAAATGTCTGTTATTTGACACACTTTCATAAACATGCTGCTGCACACACACAAGTATTTTAAATCATAAATCAGTCCACAGAAGAGAAACCATGTACTTTCCCAGGTTCAAATACCATCCTACTCAATCATTCAACTGAACTGAATAATTTCAAGCTTGAGCAAAGAAGACTACAAGGGGACCTGATTCCTCTCATTTGAGAAACACTGACAAAGTCAATCTAATTTAATTCTGACTTCTCCAGAATTAAAAGTGTAATGTGAACCAAATATCACAAGCAGAAACTAAGGGTAAGTGTGCTTAAATTTGAGAACAGCAGACATTTCTCTACAGAAATAGTTGTGGGAGTCTGGAAGAAGCTACCCAGCAATATTGTTGAATCACAATTACTTCATTCAAGGAATACTGTAGATGAATTTGATGCTCAGATCAGTTGTGTTGGTGATGCTTATAGTATAGAAATGCATGCATCAGTTTACTTCCATTATTAAAACACAGGCAAAACACACTTGACATATTGGATTATAGATGATTATACTACTGCTGAAGCCGAGCACCTCAATTTAGTCTAAATAAGCATAATTTTATTACAGCATATTTACAGTACTTATCTGCAATTGCGTAGTATAAGCCAAACATAATTTTATATTCTTAAAATATTCGTTTTATTTAGTGTGTGGGGGCCAGGTTGTTGAAGCCAATATCTTGGTTGCTTTCAAGAAATGGCCGGATGAGATTCTTGAATCAATTAACTACAGCACAAACTACCAAACAGACTTAATGAGCTGAATGGCCTCCTGCCATCTGTAACCCTTCTTATGTTCTTCACTGTAGCTGAAATAAACTGCAGGAGAATTCAGTACGTTACATATAATTGAAATCAGTCAGAAAAAAAATTGTAAAAAGCACTAGTTATTACAATACTTCTCAGACAGTTTTTTGTATTTTATTCTGAAACTTCAAAAAACACTAAACAATCACAGTAGATAAATTCTACTTCCCAAATATCGACATATTATTATGTTTTGGCAAGAAAGTGAATGGTTTGTGAACTATAAAAGAATGTTCATTCCTAGTAATTTGCACATTAATGATGACTTCATGGCCGAAAAAACTTTAGATATTTTATTGTGATATTACCCACCTCATACCATATATTCATTAAGTATAACAATGTAAGATGAGTCCTACTTACTGTACCATGCAAAATGTGAAATTACAATAACAAATGTGACATCTAAATCAACTGAAATTTAAAAAGTAGTTTTTTTAAGACGAAGGAGCATGAAGATCATCTGATCACCGAACTCGGTTAAGCAGCCCTGCTTTACTCCTGCGTAATAAGTTTTTAAGAAACATTATTCAAGGAAAAACTGCATTTGATTCTCTGATAAATTAGCAACTATAAAGTCAAACAAACTGGTTAGGCCAAAAGGCCTCTCATTCTTATATATTTCTTTTAATCTAATATGGCAAATATTACTGGACTTTTTTTACAAGGACTCAGTATATTTTCCACAATAATAACTTACTCCTCATTGATATTGACTGCAAATTTCAATCTGAGAATTGAATCAATCAGGGATATCAGTCGAATTTCAGTGTACAAACCACTCATCACGCCTGACAATGCATGTTTGCAAGTCCAGTGGAGCAAAGAGCAAATACTGTGCACTACTAAGTAGTAGAGAAATGTGTCATGGTCAGACGGATTGTCCTTTACCATGTTCTTGACAGAATAGTACACGAGTTGCACAAAGACCTCTATAGCCCTAAATGCTTGGTTCCAACAGAGTAGGGTTCTGGTGGTTCCATAAAAGTACGGACTGCACTTTTCTGACATGGTTTGGGTGCGCTAATTCCCTTAGGCAAGATCAATGTTAATCACTTCCTAAATGAGTAATCGCCTACAAACCATGTTGCAGCATTTCTTTCCTGCTGGGAGGGCTGTCTTCCAGGATCACAATGCTCCCACCAACAAAGCATGTGTGGTTGCCCAGTGGTTATCCATACGGTATATCATGGCCTTCTCAGTCATTAGATCTGAACACAGTTGAGCATTTAAGGGACAACATGCACAGGTTTATTGACTTTCTCATGGAATAATGATGCTGCATCCATCTTGCAAAATTCCAGTCACTGGAGCATACAACCTGTACTCGCCACACATGGTAGCTCAACACTCTATTAAGTGACTTTACATTGCTGTTTTCATTTTTTTGGCCACTACCAATGTTTGTCTAATAAAAGAGACACTTTTTCTAAGTGTCTATTGGGAGATCTGCTTGTAAATCTGCTTTAAGATGAAATGACAGTCTGCTGGATGTGCCATAATGGCGTGGCAGAGAAGAAACAGCCAACATAAACCAAAAAGAACAAAACAAATCCCTTACTCTTTTTTGAGCTTGACTGATTTCTTCCATCCTTAACTATAATGCTGGACAAATAAGCTATTTACCAGCCTCAAAACAAACAATTCACATATCTTTAGTCTCCCCGAGACACTTCTCATACTAAGCCTCTCGGAGATTCTTCACTAAAAAATATTGTTCCAAGCATCCAGAGATCCCTGATCCCTAGTTAGCAGATGTACACTGACTGACTCAGAAACCCTCCTTTCTCCTTCTTTTACATGGTCACCTGACCATTGGTCTTCTGACAACTAGCCAGGTGACTGGGATCAACTGCTCATGCCTCCAAACCTTTTTGGGAATGTAGTCCAGAAAATGCTCTCATCTTGTCTGAACCTGTGCTCTAAACATTGCATCTAGGTAAATGATGAAAATCAGGATTTAGAAGGTAATGCCAACATGACAGATATTATAGAGTATAACATAATAATATAATGCATATATATATATCATGTTTATATTAGGTAGTTATAGGGAACAATTGTGTAAGTAGAACACAAATACATTTTAAAATGCCAATAAGGCTATCTGGAAGCACAATGCAAGTCTACACTAGGCAAAATGAATGACTCTTCATAGAAAAGCAGTAATGAAAGTGTGATGTATAGGCTCAAATAGGTTCAAAAAGTAAATCACTTTGTCATTTGAAAGTTAATAATGATACAATACAGTGGAAACATTTGTGAGGTAATGAGAGGTGGCTTTATGAGAAAGCCACTATTTGGGCTCAAAACCCAAGCCCAATGTTGTGGCCTGGAATCAAGATGGCCACCTTTTGATTGCGGGGAAAACAAACTTACAAAGGAGGCACAACTGGTTCACATGAAATTCCACATGAGAGATAAGAGTTGTGACAATATGCTCTGCTTGGAATTAGCCACTCATCTAGAACAATTAAGTAAAGCTGGGCTAACAAACGTTTCACTCCCAGTCTGATGATTGGTGAAGACCAAGAGAGAAATTCTGAGTCCAACTCATTATTTTAAAGAACACTGCCATTCGAACATATAGTGTTAATCTAACTGAAGCCTTCAATGCCCGGTCATTAATGAGGATGAGGACTTGATGAGACGCTCAAGGGAAGTGTGATGAGCACGAGCAGTGCTTTCAAGAACCAAGTGAAGAGCAAACCAGGAAGAAGACGACTGGACTGTCCATTCTTCTCTCAGGGGAAAACCGAAGAAAAGGTTTGAAAGACAAAGACAGACCACTTAAAAAGAAAAAGGTGACATACTGAGAGTGCTGGAATTAGGATGGTATCAATGGTTGTCAAAGAATTATTGAAGGATATATCGCAGAAACGATGCTGTACAGCTGGTGCTGTACAAAAAGATGAGTATAGAAAAGAAGCTGAAAGGAAATCAGGGACTAAGCAGTTCTGATTTCTGGGTAGTTATTTCCATTACACATCCCTCACTTAAACATTGTCAAAACACAACATGTTTGTGAAACAAAACAAATTGTTATGCTTTGGTGTCTTAATAAGAGAACTGCCTAGATAACATAGTTGTTCTCTAGTTTAATTACATTCAGATGTTTGTGGAACTGCAGGTGCCTCACAAATGTAAAAAATAAGCTAAAACTGGAGTTCAGTTCAAACAGTACTGAATGAGGTGTGACAGAATGTGTTTCAGATAAATGTTTGATGGGTTACTGTAATATGTGCTGCATAGGGAGGCCTCGATCTGATCTTTGCTTGTACCATGCTATGTACAGTACCAATGTAAAGTGCTTGTACCATGCTATGTACAGTACCAATGTAAAGTGTTTCAAATATTTTCATGTGGTATGTCAGCTTTCAAATCACAGTAGGTCACTGGTACTTAAAACTAGATTGCTCCAGATTGCCCTATATTGTCTTTTAAAGTATGTTTTTCTCATTCTTTTTGTTTTGTAAGTGAAGGCATACATCTCTTTCACACATTATGGAATTTACAGTCATTTTTTAGAATCCATTCATTACCTTCGATCATATCCATGTTGTCTGGAGGCACACAGTGTCCTGCTTGGCTAACAGCCCACACGGGATATTTCTGACCTAGTTTGTTGTACAAGGTCTGAATGAAGGTTTCATAGTAGCCCACAATCCCTGGGTTCCCTGTCAAAACATCAAGCAGAAAACACAACGTCAATTCGGAAGAATATAGGTCAGGAACTTACATTACAAACACAGGCTGCTCAAGAAGAATTTCTTGACTGTGTAACCTGCAAGGGTTATGTTTCCTGAATGAAACAAGCAAAGTGTCAGCTATCCAGTTTCAAGATAACCAATAACACTATTTGCTTTGAATCCAAGCCAAGAAAATTACAAAGATTTCAAGTAAACATAAACCACAGAAGGGATATTTGGTGCAAGACACAGAACAGTTCATGAAAGCATGCAATGCCTTTATAAATTAATTATTTTGTTAAAAGGAAGTCTGAAGCCATGAACCCATCAAAACATGACAATGTGTTTGTCTAACATTTACATACACTGAATCACTTGTTTCTGGAATTATGCAAGAAAAGCATCAAATAACTTGTTTTTACATGGTTAAAACTTAAAGTCGCAAACAAAAAAGTTTTCCAGCACTAGCTACTTGCTCCAGTCCAAAGTACTTACAGCAAACACAGCAAACAAATGCCTATTAAGGGCTTGTTAAGGCTTAACTGTAATATCAAATCAATAAGTCATCATGATGTTTATAGATAAAATCACTATTAACCATTATACATGTCCATGCACACAAATAATGTAATTTTTAATACATCTGAAAGTACATATGGGTTATGGTTTTGTCAACATCTGACCTGCAGTTCATTGGGAGATCTGAACTGAGCAGCTCAACTTCTATCGCCAAGCTTTCAGAACCGCCAAGATGAAATATTATTCTGTGGTGATAAAAGGCAACCAGAGTAACCCCAGGGTTTGTTTCAGACCTTCTGACTGGATCTTTCATCCTTTGAGCAGTAACAAGATCCACCCACTTTCCTTTGTCCCGAATTCTTGTTCCTTTAACTAAAAGCTGCTGCTTCCACTCCTATTTTCTTCTATCATAATTTAAATAATCTTAACATGCTAGGAAATATAAAATTGAAAGTTTTACAATTACATTTAAATACGTTAAATATATACATACTTGAGAGACCTCAATGAGAATCTTGAATAAAATTGTAAGAGTGGCATGGAGGCACAGTTGTTAGCATTGCTGCCTCACAGCACTTAGGTCCTGGGTTCAATTCCATGAGTACTATCTGCATGTTCTGTGTGGGCATCGTCTGGATGCTCCAGTTTCCTCTCACAGCCCAAAGACATACTGTTAACTTAATTCACTTTGGGGGAAAATTGGACCTGGTGTGACTGTATGCGTGTTTATGTCTGTGTGTACCCTGCAATGGACTGCCATTTTATCAAGGGTGCATCCTGCCATGTGCCCATTACTTGCTGGGATAGCCTCTGGCTACTCTTCCAGCCTGTATTGGTTAAAGCAGTTAGAAAATGGATGAATGTATAATTTCAGTCAACACTTTCTAGAAAAGCTGCTTTACAATCAGTCCAGAGAAGCTCAACCAGGTACATTTTGTAGGTTAAGCGGATGTCCTACACTGACTTTTTAGTCTTGAGCACTACATGGTGACCTGATTTAAGAATTCAAAATCCTCAAAAACACAAGGTCATCTAAGCACTCAAATCAAGAATTAAGAATTGAGAGTGATACTGTAACCAGAGGACACAAGTGGAAACTGTGTGGACGTTTATTTAAAATTGAAAACAGGAGCAACATCTTTACACAAAGGGCAGTGGGAAATGTGTAACAAGCTACCAAACCATGTTGTTGAAGCCATTACCCTGGTTTCTTTCAAGAAATGTCTGGACGAGATCCTTGGATTAATTAATAACTGCAAATGGGTTTAATGAGTCAAATGGCCTATCATTTGTAACCTTTTTATGTTCTTATCTACACCTGATTTTCAAGTAGTTATGCCACCGGATTTCTATTTCACTTCCAGAATTACATCCTTAGATAGGTTCCATCCTGTACAAAATTCCACAGCTTCAAACTGCCCCTGAATCCTGTCCATTTGGTTTAGCTGCTTCCTGTGGAGACTGTGGTGATTTTAGCCTATCAAAAAATAGGTTATGGAGCATAAACTCCTTGCATACTTTCCACTACTTAAATTGTAGTTGAGAGGCTATCACACACTGATCACACACTAATTGAAAGTACAATAAAACATGAGGAGCACCCCTTGCTGGGCAATCGCAGTCTTCTGTTAAGGATAATATTCTTCCCAGAATTATGTTACAAGGATTGTCTCCCCCTTGCAAGGGTCACGCACCTTAACCTCAGCTTTTTTAGCTTTTGCGTACTTCCCTTGGATTGGAAAATTCGATGGGATGTCTTGACAGCACCTAGATACATTTCCAAGAAAAAGTTTGTGAACCCTTTACAATTACCTGGATTTCTGCATTAATTACTCATAAAAATGTGCTCTGAGCTTCAACTAAGTCACAATAATAGGCATACACAATCTGCTTAAACTAATAACACACAAACAATTATACTTTTTCTTGTCAGTACTGAACACATCGCTTAAACATGCAGTCTAGGTTGGATAAAGTATGTGACCCCTTGTTAAAGTCCAAAGCTATGGCTGCAGAACCTTGTCTCTAACTAATACACTAAGGAGCCCCAGTTTTGATGGGAAAGAAACAGAGAATCCAATACGTTACACTTGGCTCTGCACTTAGCCATCAGCGTTCAGGTCAGGTTCACGATCTTGTCCTGCCCTCCTGGAGCTACACATGTGGAACACTCCTTCAGCCATGTTGCTGTTTTTATCACAAATATTTTGGAAGTTATAGTTAGACAAACTCCATTCATTGTTCAAATATAAAAATTAATACAAATATTTATACTTTCTTTACATAACTCCCTTCAACTGCTGTGATTTGTTGCATAACTGTCTCTTTCTCACCAACACTGATTTCTTTATTTAGTGTAATGTCATGATCGCTTTTATATTTATATAATTTTTTTAGACTTCTTTTTTCATTTAGATCCTAAGGAGGTTTTTTCTTTACTTCTTTTCATCTCGACAACTTTTAGTCTTCATATTGGAGAGTATAAATTCACAAAAAAATACAATGAAGAATATATAAAGCTACTCTGGAATTTAAAAGTTTTATACACTGAAGTCAGTGATATGCACTGTAAGTAGGCTTAAATATGTCAAGATATATATGTGAATTCTGTATTCCAAGGATTCCACCATGTCTTTACTTTTCAAATAAATGTTTTTACTTATTATATGAATTACCAATAATTTAGCAGCATTAAATTAAAATCTTACCATGAAAACCTTAAACTCAAAGGCAACTAATTACAGATGTGCGGTACCATTACATTTCAATAAGTTCAGTCGACTGCCAAGCTTGCAATCATTTTCTAATTACTGTTTTCGTTCCCTCGTATACTTTGGCATGGACAACAAAAAGAATCTAGATTTGTTAATATTTTAGTAGGAAGAAACAACAAGAGATTAAAAGCAAACGGATTTCCAGAAGGCCATAACAAATTTGGAACTTGACAAAGGAAGTATTTGACAGCCCTTTAAAATGTATTTCTTGAGAGCCCATGAAGATTTACATTAACATTTACAAGAATTTCTTATCAACAGTTTGGACGCACAACCAAAATTGGAGAAACTTCCACTGAATAAATAACAATTATGTTTTTTTTTATTATATTGTTTCCCATTCAAACAGGGAAAATAAAGGCTGCCACTGAGAAACACTCTGACATAACTGTTAAAGATAATGTACTGTATATTTAAAGTAACACAGAATTTACTGTAGCCAGTAAAAAGGGAATTGGTAAGTATTACATCTGTAGTAGTCTGCTACTAACATTAAGTGGGTAACAGTAGACTAAAGTATGAATACATATGTATGTACTGCATGAAAATGTTAAAGTATTTTTTAAAGAGATACCACGTAATATACCACAAACCAAACCATCAATATTATGAAAAGCTTCGGTATTCATTATGACTTACTTTTTTGTAAGTCATTTGTTTCCTTAGATATAGTGTTTCTATGGTAGACACTATAAAGCCTTCCTGTTATATGAAAACCTTTCTAAACTACATTTTACATACCATCCCTTGTGGCTGCATTTTTTATTTTGGTTTTCCAAAATAACATTTTACTGTCCAGAATTGCGGTCTTGCAATTATATGTGAATTACAAAAAAATTAAACACACTTATTCCATCCTTCCGTTTTTTAACCACTTCATCCAACTCAGGGTTCTGAGTTCCTGCCGAGGCCTAATCTAGCAGGCAACAGGCACAAGGCAGGGTACACCCTGGACAGGATGCTGGTCCATCACAGGGCACACACAAACATGCAAACATAGACACCAGGGCCAAAATTTCTCAGAAGCCAATTAACCTACCAAGATGTCTTTGGACTGTGGGAGGAAACCAGAGCCAACGGCAAACAACCACACAAACATGGGGAGAACATACAAACTCCATGCAGACAGCAAGGTCAAGTTGAACCAGGGCCGCTGTGCTGTGAGGCAGCAATGCTGTTCTGTTCAGAAATTAATATTAATTAAAAAAAAACTGAGTATAAAACATGAAGAAATTTCACAAAATGGGACACCATAGAAAGGGTCTTGCCAAATACAGGGTGTCGCAAAAGTATTCAGTGAATTAAAAATATTTAACATTCATGGAAAAAGGTTGCATGGGTAATATGTAATGTTAACATGAAACATTAACTTTCGTCAATGGAAGAAATGGAAGAAATACCCAAGTCAGTTACAGTACCAAACAATGACAAATGTTGCAGAGTTACATATACATACTCTTTCTGTAACATGATGCACTAAAAGGTTTTACTTTTGCAGGAAAGTGTTTAAGTGACTTTATAAAAGCACCCCTCCTCCTTGGAACTCTGTCATCACGCAAACTGCCTATCCATTTGCATTGACTTTCTGTTCTTTTTTCCCTTTTAAGTACAGAAAGTCTGTACTTTCTTCTACACTTTGTAGTTCTAATGCATGAACACACAGTACCAGATACATTAACTTTAGAAGTTCTCAGG